TTGGTAGAATGCTGCTCCGGCATTCACCTTGTATTGATAGCAAAAACCACAGAAAATTACGGATCAGAGCAGTCGGTCGCTAGAATTCTTCTCCCAACAGCGACAGAACTCGACCTATCTATCCGGCTAGAGTAGAAAATCCTGCCACCGTCGAGACTCGAACCATAGGGCCTCCCAGTCAAATAACTGCAGTGACATCAGTTGATGCCCTGAGCCACTCTCCCGGTTTTTAGGAAAGGGCGATAGTTTTCTTCCTACTAACTCTACTGAAGAGGCATGCGAAAATATTTAAAACTTACCTCAAATATCATTGGGGTTCGAGATTCACAAAGATCAATGCATTCCACAAGTACCGGTTCTGAAATAAAAACGATATTTCAAATTACTCCCTTCTGAAAGGATTAAATGCAAACAGACCAGGCCGATAGTATAAGTACTTATTTATGCAGTTTTGTTTTTCATATATATTTCTAGAGCCGGATTTAGGTACTGCGCCCCCACCCCCAGCTCAAAATTGAGTTACCACCCCCTCAGGAAAGAATCCACCAGATTTACTTAAAATCACTAAAATAAAAAAAAAATACAAATACTTTGTGCACAAACTGTTTAACAATTAATTTACAGATACAAATAATTTATTATTTCTCCGGGGCGCAGGGTTCCCTTTCCCATGAAAAGGTCCCTAAGCAACTGACTTGCTTATAGATAAATCCGGCCCTGCACATTTCGATCATGTGCCAACAGAAGTTCAGTAGAACTCTCGTTGTGCTGTACTGATGGCATCTGTACAAATAATTAATATAACTTAAAGAGTTCGCGTATATACCTGCATACACGTACTAGCGATACTTTAATTAGAAGGTCCTTGAATATTGTAGCAACAATGAAAAAATTCAATTTATCAAAAATGTCATCAATTGTCAAAAGCAGTCTAATGCAAAACTCGGGGTTTTACACGACACACGTTGATTGTATTACTTTTATTAATATTTTTATTCGTAAAGATTGGTATTAATATTCTTCACAGTTTTCATCATAATAAACTAATCACATATACTAATCATTTTCATAATCTTACATTAAAATTTGCTTTGCCCCCCTGCAATACTACTCTCAACTGTAGTTTAATCTAATCTCTGCCTTGAAACATAAACTAATAACACATTTATTTTACGAGATTATTACCATACGTCCATTACGTGTAAAAATAACCCAGCTATTAATCGTAAAGCTGTGTGTATGTGTGTGAGTGGGGGGCGGTGCGCGTGTGTAAACAAAATTAGGTTCGTTTTCAAGCGACTTATTAACAGGGCTCTAATAATCCTTACTTTTAACAGGACCCTCATGATCCCTACGATGGCTCTAAATATGACATTACAAAAAAACCTTCACTCATTCGACAAGTCTGTTTTCACATTGTATCGAAGGAAAAGTCCAACACAGACTCGATGAGCATGTAATTACTCTTATCTAATCAAAAACAGCGAATATTCACCATACACCACCGCATTTTCCTTCGCACTATGATTGCGGGAGCTGTCGGTAGGTGGGTCGATGGGAGGATGCTGATAGGGTGGGGGAGTGCGGAGGTCGGTCGATGAGACGAAGGGCGAGTCGCAAGTGCGAAGGATGGATGTGTCGAAAGAACCAGTGGGCGCACAATTTAATGAGGGGCAAGGTAACAAAACGAACGAATGTGTCTCGACATGCGACAATTCGTAGCACGTGAACGATAATCAAGTGCTTGTGTCGTGAACGATGTACGATATGTACGTATTGAACCATCCAAAATGGGCTTGCGTGTCACAGGTCAACTCAGCCGGTCAGCAAGTCGTCAAGCACTCGGTAGATGTGGGGTAAACAGGCCCATTGAGGCAGGGACGCCAACACCGTGTGGAGCGGGTTGGTGGAAAACGCGATTACGTAAGTGGGGGAAGGGCGGATGCAATTGTGTCCGGATATGTTGACAAGGTCGACAGGCGGGCTATGTTCAGGGGGGAAGAACGCGAGGAAAAAATAGGAAAGATGGGAAAAAGGGAGAATCAAAGGAAAGAAGAAAGGAGAGGAGGAAGATGAAGGGGGAGGGTAGTGGGAAGGAAGGAGGAAGGAAGGGAAGGGAAGGAGAGAAGGGAGGAAAGGAGGAAGGAAGGGAAGGAGAGAAGGGAGGAAAGAAGGGAAGGGGAGAAGAAAGGGAAAGATGGGCAAAAGGAAGCAACGTCTCAGGATGAAATGACTCGACAGTTGATTCGAGTCAGAAGAGGGGATGGATGGTGCGTAGACGACCAGTTAAATTCCTCAAAGAGAAGGGCTAGTTGTAACGGGCCAACTAAGATTCGTCGCTTTTGATTCGTGACTGCTAAGGGCAACAGGTGCGTAGAACAGAGGAAGAATGGGCCCCGTTGGGATGGAGGGTCAACGGAGAAATACGATGGAAGGAGCCCAGCGAGCAGGCGCAGGCTTCCCGCTGCGGGACGAAGGCGGTGGAGGGAGAGACCATGAAGCAATTTGCGCCCAATGGCGAGATCTATCGGTGGAGCGTAACTAATGAGTGAACACGATGAGTACTAAGGACGAGTCAAAACGTACATTCAATGAATCTTCAAAAAGACACGATTAAAATCCAGACCTCGTTGATAAAACAACAGAACGCATGAAATGAAACAGATGATACAACTTATCAAAACAAGTCAGTGCTTTCCCTCATATTTAAAATTGATCTGGAAAATATCCATTGCCAAATGCAATTACTGTGCAAAACAGCGCGAAGAGAAATAAATTCTTGAAAATCATTGCAACACTGATGTATTAAAATATAATAAATTTCACAAATAACTGATGGAATCATTTAAGAAGGGGGGGCAACATATCTATTAACAATTGCTGATTCGTTTATCATTTAGTATGGCAATTATTAGTTATGTTAATTGCATTATCAACAGTATTAGTGTTATTAGTAATTATTTTTACTACACAAGTATCAAGTAGGCCTATAGTTTTCCCAACTCATGACTGATTAATATATAACATAAAGCAATAATTCATTATTCCCTAAAATATTCAACCCGCTACTACCCTAAAATGTAGCCTACTCACTATTCATTATTGTAAGTTCTAAAATAAAAATATGATTCATTTCATAATAGAATGCACTGGTTTTCTCCGCAAAAATACAAATGTAATGGAATGCAGTGAACACTAAATAATTCCCTCCTTTCCAATAAACTTCTTGAAAAGTAATTAAAAATGTGAACACAGATTCTTTACCACTCACATAGCAAAATAGGTGGTCTCAAAGTTGTTTAATCACTGAAGTAGGATATTAAAATTGAAACAGAAATTTTACTTTTCAGTTGAACTTTGTCATAAAAAATATTTAATTAAAGAAAGCAATGCAACTGTCAATAGAAACAATTTCTCATGCTCCTTTCATACTGCTTCATCTTTACGAAAAACATTAAATACTTATCAACTTCATCAACTTCTTTATTTTATTTGGTGAATTATCTCTTTCTGTAATTCATTACCTGAACTGTAAACTGCAGAATACATTTATCTTTTTTCTGTAAACAGCAATATTTATCCAAGTTGCATTAAATTAATTTTGGCAAGTGAACAGCAAACAAAATTGCATGTCATTTTTGAATCTGCTCTTTGAAATCTACACTATCAATAATGGAGGGAAAGTCTGATATTTGTCGTTCATCCAGTTGTTTTAAGAAGTAAGCACAGTTATTTCTTCTTTACTATGTTTCCAAATTCAACCACAACATGGAAAAAAGAAAAAAATTCACTATAAATAAACACAGAAATAACTTAAAATATTAAATACTGTCAGTGACCAACGCATACATCAACACATTGTTCTCTCTTAAAAAATAAAAATAATCACAATAATTTATTATTATTATTATTATTATTATTATTATTATTATTGTTGTTGTTATTATTTTTATTATTATTATTATTATTATTATTATTATTATTGTTGTTGTTGTTGTTATTATTTTTATTATTATTATTATTGTTGTTGTTGTTGTTGTTATTATTTTTATTATTATTATTATTATTGTTATTGTTGTTGTTGTTAAAAAGCTTTACTCTACAAGTAATGAAAGCCTCAAAATTAAATTATATAGTATAATGTGCGAGTTTTTACAGACAGGATATCTATTAAACGCAACTTATATTTAAATTTTGAAATATAATTTGACATTGCAATACCTGAACAGGCAAATGAACTAAATGAACATCATAAATATTTTACGCTGACCAGTTTTAATGCTCTGCTCATGCAAATTTTTCTTCGAAATTAGAAACTTACAATAATACTCACATTTACTGTTTCTTTACCATATTACAAGCTCAGGATTAATAAGCTCATTAATAATATACAAAGAAACACTCTGACAACATTAAGCACATTACATCAAAACATCCTCTTATATGTTGACATTACAAATAATCAGAACATGAAAGTCAAATAACAGTTGTCAAGAAAATATGAATCACTAATTGGTACTAAAAGAAAAATATTCTACTGATTATGATTGTCATCCTGCATGAACAAATAAAAATGAAGGCAAAAGCCAGAAATGTATGCATCAACAGTACACATAAAACTTCATTTTATTACCTCCAGTAAACACAAATCTTTGATTGCAACTTCTTACCATGTTCCTTCAGCAGTGTAAATAAATTATATATGAAAACAAAAAACATTATGTAAATATGCAGTTGACAAAACTACTTACATTTAATGCATTTGCCATGTCAAGATTAATCACAATGTCACTCTATAAAATTTATCCATAGACACAGATCAAATGTGATTCTACAAATGATCTACATGTGATTATAAAAATAACTAATGTTTGTGGGTCCTGGCATCCAAAAAGAGTCACTGATCATGAAAATGATATTGTGACATCTAATTGTCCTAACATTCTCCTATTTACTTTTCACGCATTATCATTTTACTCGTTTCATAAAACAACTTTTACCTTGCTAGGTTTATTCCTACTATTCCAACACAAGTAGCAATCCAAGCATGTCATTTCTTGTAAGTCTTGAAATAAAAGGATCACTGAACCTGTTTTCCATTTACACATACACAGGGGTGTAATAATAAGGTTATTTTAGCCTGGATGTTGCAAATATAAGTTAATGCTAAACGATTCACATTTTATTACCTGCCAAGGTATTGTCACTTATCCAAAACCTTCCAGTGTGCTTTGGGTATAGTCAGTCTGAATGAAAAGTATCGGCAATTAAGCACTTGTCAAAGTTCAATGTATCATAGATGATTTGGTCGAAGTTACAATGCGTAGATCTTGTGTTACAACACTTAACCATCAACGCAGCATTCGCAATGCTAGTGCCCTCGTCAAGAAGAGCGTTAGCCGCAACACCTCAAGCCCGGCTGACTTTCTCTTTCTTTCTCGATTCCTCTCACTCTCGAAGTATCATCACCTCCCATTCATTCTGTGAAGAGTCTTCAGTGCAATCCGCTACGCCGCAAAGCGCTACCATCGGCCATTCAAAGATGCTTCATGATTTTCAAATTATGAGATAATTATAAACAACTTTGATATAATACAAAATTAAATTGTATACTCTACTAGAAAAACTAATCTACTAATTTTGTTCAATGATTATTTCTGGTTGGACCTAGGCATACAAATATATTTTACAAAGCATTTAATATTTAAACATTCAAAATTCTGTTCAATAGTTCCCAATACTTGAGTACTACATTACCAATTAATGGAGGTAATATAGATATGTTTATACTTTTTCCAAGTAGAATGGAAACACTGCTTTGAAACACACAAGTCTACTTGCGGGCACTAATTTTAGTGGCATGCCCACAAAGTACTATGGGAGAGGGGGCGATTCTGACCCCCTCCCTAAATATTAGTGTTTTTAAAATTTTAAATTGCATTTTTTTAAGGGGCGTTCAAAATGGAATTAATCTTTTGCCATGTGATGCAATCAATAAGTGATCATTGTCACCATCATCATGAACAACAGGATATGTCTGGTGCTTGATCCTGTTACAATACAGTTAGATCTGATAATTATTTCTCCAGATGTTTCTGAGATAATGGTTTTTAATATAATACTGCAAAAAATTACGTAAATGTTTTAACAAAAACATTCATGAATTCTGCAATAACATAGTTTACCGTAGCTCAACAGTTTACATTCCAATAATATTTTTATAAAATGCTGCTCCTTAATGCGCGTAAATAACAATATTTAATGACGGCGATCTCATTCTTGGAGCTTTGCTGTCGCTTGACGTCAGCTGTGTCGTTAGCATTAATGCACTGATTCTGAGGATTCAGTCGGTACTCGCTATATGAGGATAGGCCGAATAACACATTGAAATATTTGTATTTTCAGTAAAAATTGAAACTGTTTCATTGTTTTTGGATTTTTTCAAATACCTGAATATCTAACGAAACCTTAGACACCTCTCACATGGCCGGAGGCTAAATAGGTTTCTTCCAATATCTGCGTGCATTGAAAGTAATAAGTGGTAGCCACTGAATTAAAAATCATAAAAAACATTCTAAATCAGATCATCACTAATTCCATTCGTTGCACATGCGTTTTCACTTTTGCAAGACCTTTACACGGACAGAAAGAAAACGTGGGTATTTACTTCTACAAACTAAATTGTATTTAGCTGAGAGTTGTTCAATTTTTTCAAATTATTAGGTTATTTTAGGGAAACGAAACATTATTTGCAGATTATTCAAGAAGCTCCCGATTAACTTTGGATACAACTACAAAACACCAAAAATTTTAACCACTTTTCCTCCACGCATAAGGAATAAGATAGAACAATCAATATATTCATTACATTTAACAATTCAGTGTTGAATTACGAATAGAAAAAAATATTGCAGAGAAAATATCTCTAAACAGTTTGTAGATTTATTACCGCGTACAACTTGGCCCAAGAGGGCCAATGAATTTTGATAGTTCTAAAATATCGTTACTTGTGTTACTAGTGAACATAAAGTCATATTCAGTACAGATTCATGCTCATCTAATGTGCATTATTGTGGACTGGCGCATTGTTAATGAATGTATGGGCAAAAATAAATCCATACTTTTAATACTCTCTGGATAAACCAATTCGCAACCAAGATGACTATAGCGACCCTGGTGGTAGTAGGAAAGAATAGTACGAAGAGCGCCTTATTCGAACTATATTTTTTTTTTTAATTGAAAGGGACGAACAAACAAACGACCGAACACACAAACTAACAAAAAATAAAATAATGTAAATATTGACTTGATAGAATTGTGTAAAATTGTTAATATTTTTCTGTTTCGTAGACAAAATTACAAAAATGTTGACTTCATAATTTATTATTGAGAACGAAAATTCACTATTGAATTGACTATTGAAAAATATATTTCAATTACTAAGCATATCTATGAAATAATATTTTCCTATTTTTAATATTTAATGCAATATATAAAACATTATAAAACAAAGATATACAATATTTGTTTGTTTTAATTTAGTTGCAAATATAAGCAAATGTTAAAATGCATTTTCATAACATACTTGAATATAAAGTTTTTTCGATTTTCATTGCTTTTTCTTCACGCCCTAATTTTATAACAACCTTTATCTGTGTTGTAATGATATTTTTCCAGATTTTAGAGACTTCAGTTTAGGGCATCAGTCATCACAGATTTTTATGTTTTAAAATGTGCTTTAGGTACCTAAAATAAGTTCTTTCAGCATCTCAGTTAGGATAGGAATGGTAGAATAGGCGTAAATAAAACAGGAAACTAAAAAAAAAAAAACCTTTTTACCATTTATATACACACATGTTTTATTTATATATATACAATACAATGTATATACCATTCAAAGAAAGGCAAAAAGAATTGCAATAAATGCCTGATAGAGCCAGGCTAAAATGGTATTCAGAGTGTTGAACAATGGGTTTGAAACTACAACACCTTACATTTTATTTGCAGTAAATATGCAATTACAAAGCCATAGAGAAAATAGAATGAATAAGTGTTCTGAAAGAAAGTCTCTTTTGGGCTGAAATTGGGTGATAAAGTCAAATTCTGTGATCTTAATAAAGTGTGCAGGAGATATGAAGATCATCCTTTTTATGTATGAAATGTAAAAAGTTCTGATTATGTGACATGAGCAGCAAAATGACTGTAATGACTCCTTATTATTCAATAAACATAACAAACAAACAAACAAAGGAAAAAACTAATCTTAACATAATGTCTGCTATTGCTCAAACCAATAATAATCCAGTACCCAAACCACACTCTCGTTTAGATGATAGTATATTTAAAATGTTAAATTCCAGAATTTGATTATGGTGATTCAAAACAGATTTTAAAGCTGAAAAGCTTCACATTTTCTTCATAACAAGCACAACACCTTAGTGACTGACTTTTGTAAATGGAAATATTCAGTACAGTTGTTGAGATACAAAATAAAAATTAAAATTAATATTACCAAAGACATTATTGACTTAATACAGGTATCATAAGGAAGAGTTTGTTCTTTATTTTTTGAAAGAAGGCCAGATTTCCAGTAGTATTCTTTGTGGGGTCTTGGATAAATTCAAAATAGAGTGTGTATTATCGCAATAATGACTTTTTATTCATTTTGAACTGTAAACAAAGCATAGAAATCATTAATAAAAAGTCCATTAATATGCTCTTTTTGTGTATTAATGCAGTACAAAAGATTTTATGTGGCATCTGAACTTGTGTTTTGATTTTAATTGTTTAATGACATTTGGCAGTAACTGATGTGTAGTATTACATGAGGATACTTTGTAGGGTGCTGTACATACTAATCACCTTATAAATATGATTTCTACTTCATGTGTCATAATTATAGATATCTGTTTTAAGATATGTGCCCATCCTTGAGAAGTCAGTGTTAGGATAAAATACTGATTCATAAATAGACAAGTCAATGGGAGAATTCATGTTCAATAAAGATAGGCTTACAAATTCACCAGGGTGGCTTTTGTAATTTATTTATTTACATTAGCTACATGAAGGTTCACTAAATTTGAAAGAATACTGAATGTGTAACAGAATGAAGTTAATTTTGTGGTCAGTCCATTTCTATGGACACTCCATTTCAGATTTCACTGAACTGAAAGACCCAATAATTTGATATGCAAAACTGCATGTATAAAACCAGATATTCAGACTATAGAAACATTGAAAAATACAAGCTCACAGCATTCAAAGCTCAAGGCTGTAGCCTGGAAGGCCATTTCTGGCATTCTCATGTGAATAAATGTCAGGAAACCTACGAGGCTTTAATGAAGAGTACATGGAGAGATTCCATGAGAATAAGAAAGATATTGAGAGATATTATTAAGGAAAATGAAATTAGACCATAACGGGATGTGGGATGAGGGTTAAAAAAATTTATAAGCAAGTTTTGAGTGTATGGTACTGCGAGAAACAATTCAATAAAATATTCAATATTTCAATCAGAGACATCATATTTAATACTTTTCCTATCATTGCAAAATTCTGCACTATCTTTACAGTATGAAAACTTGCTTCAATTATACATTTCCATTCAATGCTAAAAAATACTTCCATTCAACATGATATTTAAAAATAATTCAAAATAAAAAAAAAACACATAATAAAAACAATTACAGGTTTGAAGAAAAAGAGGATGAAATAGTCAAAAGGTCCTGTGAAACGTCAATTCAAGGTTTTCCCTTTCTCTCAACATTCAAGAGTTTAATGTGCCCTTGTGTATTCTATTACCTACAATCTTCCATGAATGCAAAAACAGTCTCTACCTGTAATAATTGTTTTGCAAGAAGATACAGTTGCAAAAGACATTTGTAATTATTTGTTTTTGAGCAAATTATATGATACATGAAGACTTTTTACAGAACAAGTCTTCTCTAATTACTAAATCATTGACTTTTTCTCTTCACAAAGTAAAAATGACTTTTAGGTCAAAGGACATGTGTTAAACAGTGAATCGCAGAAGAATATATTAATAAATGAGTTATTTAATCAATAATCGAAGAATATACAAATCAATAAAGTAAGTGAGTAGGTAAACAACCTACAAACAGGAGAGTCCTCATTATCAGGAGGTATCATTAATCTATGGTTTCACTGTTTTTGGCAGAGAGAGCCATTGAGATAAATCTTTTGCAGCATTTGTGTCCAAAAATGTATTCCATTATAGTCCTACTCGGAAAATACACATTAATGTACATATCATCATGGGATATGTATGAAAAGTGTACATATTTGTAACTTTTTTAATTCAAAAGTTTTAATGAAAATGACATGATGACAAAATGACGAACCTCAACGGATGTCACCGCATTGCTTCTGACTGGGAGGAACTAAGGTTCGAGTCCTAACTATGAGAGGTTTTTCGACATTAGCTAGATAGGCAGAAGCTCCTGTCAAGGAGGGGAATTCTAGCG